GTGGAATTGCTTTCCGTTCTTGTCACTCCCGAGCAATACTAAGGGTAGGTACAAATATGTCAGAAAATCCGTCGAGAGTGTTACAGAAGTATGTGTTAGTAAGCTACGAAGTATACGTCGAGTGTGCAAGTTTGAATGTCATATCATAATATTTGTCAGTTTTGAAATTCAGATATGACTCCACCGACAGAAATGCACCATACTAGAATTGGACGACACGTTTATATTACAATATCTAACTCTGTTGACAAATATTTCAACCATTCGTGTCTTGATTAAATATTACAATATTTTATTGACTCTGGCATCGATTTAACTGAAGTCAAATATAGGTTTTGAGGCAATAAAGTGAGCTTGTATAATTCCAATTGTGATCTCTTCACCATCCTTTACCAGTCATAAAATTCTATTGAAGATTTATAACGGATGACAGATCAATAAAAATCGGTGTAACATTTCATCGTAACATTTGTAAATCTTAACCTAAACATTAACAAAACAAATTTGATGTATTTGATCTTTGACTTTGATCTTAATCTAAACTCACATATATAGAAGTAAACACATCCATAGGTGCCACATAAATCACCGCCAATAAGAAGGCTAAACTTGGTTGTTATTGCAAAAGGCTAATTAAGCTATTTGTTTGTATTTTTGCTTAATAGTACTAGCAAATTGCTTGTCGTTGCGTGTTTACACAACATTTCAATTAAATAATAAAATGACTGCTGATTAGAGTTCTAATGAATGTATCAGACAACATATGCCCAGGTTTCACAGCGTAACTTTAAGTCTAAGCGTAACTGTCGTAACTGATATGAACTTCAGTTAATTTTGATGTTTCAATTCAATGTCAGCACACAATTGTACGTGGCAGCTTCACTATAAAAACATAAAATTCACATTTAACTCAAATAAATATCAACTATTTAAAGAAAATTTAGTTACTCGGTATATGGAACGAGCTGAAAAGCAATACGCTACACAAGTAAATTATCAAATACTCTCTTATCTAATTATTGTTCTATTCATATTTTTCTAAATTGCGCCACCTACGCAAAGGGAAGTTGAAATTTGTTATCATTATAAATTTTATTTAGACTGTAAAATTTTTGCCATAAGATATCAGCACTAGTCTGAACTTGCTACTTGACTACCCAAATTGCAATCCAATCAGGGTTTTATATTATAAATGTGAGAAACCTAGAGTTATGAATATTGGTTACTTACAAACCTGTGCACTACTGTTATCCTGTTAGACCAGCCACTAGAAACGACGATTCTGAAACCACATGTTTGATGTAGCTGAACAAGTATTACGTAAACACCGTCCCCATCATAATGACGATCCCATCATCTGCCGAGATGGGCGCAGTGCATCTGAATTGCATCGCGACCGCAACCTTGCAGATTCCAGCTGAATGCAAATAGCAACTGACCTTAATATGTTTACACACTAAAATTGTGAACCAAATCACAATGGAGACAGTGCCAAAGCGGCACACAATATTATGATTGTTTGTTTTATATGAAAATAACGTGCCCTCCACCTGTGCGTCTGATACCGCAATGTGTTTACTAGCTGTTTACCCGCGACTTCTTCACCCGCGTATGATTTAGCTTCCCCTATGTCAGGGATATTTTCAGAACCTATTCAATGTAAATAAATAAGCAAACTATTTTTAGTTTGCTCTTTATGAAGATGAAGCGATAAAAGTCTTTTCGATTTATTGCACATGTATCAGTGTTATATAATTTGAGAAACATTTCCCAAACAAACAACACGACATTTCAAGCAAAATTGCCTGAATGAGATGGACATACAAGAAAAACAGATTATTTAAAAACGTTGCAATAGTACAACCGGCGGAAAATGTAGTCCGATTTGATTTCAATCTTGTCGCATTTTCAAGGAATTTGTTATAATGGTTTTATTTATAGAGTAGAGATAAACCTGTGAAGAATTGTTGGTTTAGGCGCCAGCTAGCCGTGATATTTAAAATACAATATATCCTTGATATGAGCTTGTGAATTGCTAACGACAATGTTACACTCATCAACAAAATATATTTAACGCGATAGTAAATTTTTATTTGCCACCATGACGGGCGAAGGTCGTATGAATCCTTGTGATGGCTTCACATTATATATTTATTTACGGAAGCGTGTTACGATATGTTTATTGTTTGTTATTATTTTCCAAAGAAAAACATATTTATATTCTTAACGCCCGGCAAGTTTCATAGCTGAGCTGTTTTCATGCTGTTCGATTTCCTGTTGAGGTGTTTTATTTTCAGTGCTTGTTTTTGTTACAGACTGGAATAAAAAAAGGCATTGAAAATAGTGGTATTATGAAGCCTGTGGTCTGTGCTGTAGTTTTATAGTTACGTGCAAAGGCAAATCTTTTTTATCGTATTTTTTGAGTTTTCATTTGCTATTACTATATTAACTTGTGTATAGGTATGTGTTTGTGACATTCTCATAATATTTATTAACTGACTTCGAAAAAGTAGAAGTTATATGTTCTAATAAATACTATTTTTAAGTGTTTTCACCAATTTAATCGCTGTTTGTTCTAGTTATTTTGGTCAATATTTTTTATATCGAAATCAGATCAACAGTTTATTTTATTTTATTTTTATTTTTAGAAAACTTACAGCTGATGAAGGAATAAAAATCTATATAAACTAATTAACGTCAATTACAAGTTTTCACAAATAAACAAAAGAATAAAATAAATTATTAACACCTGGTTTCTGAATTGAGTATTTAAAGTTAAGCACATTTCGTTGTTATATCAAAGTATCTAAAAGAATTATGTCGCCACAGTAACCAAAGCGCGTATTTTATTTTGTTACGGTACGAGTAACATCATTCAAAAAGTACCATCTTTATGCTTAGTTAAACAACAAATATGAAATTTTGTGATCCATCGATCTTCGTATCTCTATTGCTCATCTCATTAGTCCAAATAGTGACAGATCGGTACCCTAACGCTTATATAAGTGACTAGGTCGATCCATTTTCTCAATCGATATTTACGACTAGTGCGAGCGAGATAACACGAGTTATTATATTTGATCAATTTCGCATTCATAATGCTGGAATATACTGGAAAATAATCTTAATGAAAAGTGCTTAATAAATCCACTTTGTCCTTGGCACCCATTCCATCTCCCATCTCAGAATAACAGGGGCAAAGTAGATTCTTTTAAGCATTTTTCACTGAACTCTTTCGTTTTTAAGTCAACATAAATGTGATATAATGGTCACGGAAGCAAATATAACATAAAAAACAAGCATATAATTATTTTCCGTTATTCAATATGGCTAATTAAATCGCGCGAAGATTACATAGACTATAAATTGGTATGTCTGTCTGTGGACCACGCGCCGTTTTTTTTTAACTTATTCGTTCTTTTATTTTGTTGTTACTTGTCCGTTCGTTACGTTCACTTTTGAGTAACTTTCTTTTTAGTTAATGTCAAGTTTTCCTTGAGTATTGAGTTAGATTTTAGATATTCCATCGTTTGAAGTGTTTAATAAAATGTAATTTTTTCAATTACTTACTCATACAAAGGCTGGTACATACTATGTGATACTCATGTAAATACACGACAATTTATATAAATTATCATAATATTTTAATAAAAAATCTACAGTTATGTCTCTGGAAGTTCCGTGCATTGAAAGTTAATTCACCGTTCTTCTAAAAAGGTATACCTACTCTCTTATCTCGGCTAGAATGAGAGCACTGACCAAATGAATAATAATATATAAATCTCAGCTTTTTAAAGTGAGCTTATGCAAAAAACTCCTCGTCACAATAGATCGATGAACATCTAAAACTTAATAAATGAGTAGTAGATACAGACTTGACGACAGAATAGGAATTTCTTAGTCACATCAACATAAAGCTTAGAGTATACTCTAAAACATAATGCGAAATATCGTTACAAAACTTTGGTTATTCCGCACAAAATGCCAATTTCAGAGTCGAAACCGCGACCTTCAAATGATCCCTTGTTACTGACAATACGCTTAAGTAAAATAATACTCATATGAAAAATATTGATTTCAATTTACGGTTAATCGGCTGTTTATAAATATTTGACCTTCAATTAAAGTGCACTATTTAAAATTAAATGTAAATGAATAACCTCATGGCTGAACGGTTCATTAAATGATCGTATAATGCGTGTATATTATATTTTTTGTCAATTTAATTAAAGTTAAACATTATTCGATGGTAACTGCATCATTCGAGATAAATTTAACATATTTTAAAATAACATTTGAGTGACTTCGATTGCTAATATTTTATAGATTATATTACATTTTTTAATTGTTCAAACGTTGTGAATTTAAATCAGTATCTAGTTTTTTACATTATAAAGAGCAAATGTCAGGTAATATCTAAGAAAAAAATACCGATTTAAAAAATATGATGTCCCACCGGGATCAGCTTTAAATTAATTTATTCATATTATTCTTATCATCTTTTTTTCTGAATTACTAGGTCATGTTCAAATCTCAAGATACCTATATAAATGTAATATTTATAGCTTCAATTTTCTATACAAATTCCTCTCGAAGTTCCCAAATAAGAAATGATCTATATATTCATGCGTAAAGAAAAAACTTTGGACCTCTATTTACGAAAATTGCACGAATGGAGAAATATGAAATGTGCACTGCTAAAGTTTATATAGAAATAAAGTACGGAATCCTGGTTAATTTAGTTTTAACTGACATAAACGTCTGCCCATAGTAAGATTACTTGTAAATATTAAATATGAAATTGTTACATAAGAGCCGATTGATTTCGTGACTCATGCTAACCTTCGACTGAGAAGTATTTTGAAAAATGTTATGATTTAAGCGTATTAGTGTATTAATAACCAATTTCCGTTTTATCCTCACGACATCCGGTGAGCACATGTTAAAATATGAATGTATTTGTAATAAATAAATTTAATTGTGTGAAGCAATACTGTCACACTGTGGGAGGATCGATTAGTCAAGGCGAGCCGGGGTCAAAACCAACCTACTTTCGAAAAGCAAGGTCGACGACCGACCCAAAAAAAAAACAAAACAACATGTATCTCCAAAATCTTATATATTAATTTTAATCTATGTTCTTGAAATACAAAATGAGGAGGTGAGACATCGAAGCAAAATAAATTGTGCTCATATTAAATAAAACCTCCTCGGATAATAAATACACTTCACTTTCTGCTATTAAACCTATATACATCACAACACTTAAAACTAAAACATAGAAAAATAATGGGAAACATGACATGGCGCGGCTGACTTAAAATAATTAGTGACTTATTTAGTTTACAAGAAAAAAAATCATCATCATAGTGTTAGTAACGCCTTACGCGCCGCAGTGATGTATCACAGTATAGAGACTACCCGAGCCTTTTACTCGTTCCGCATACACTTTATTATTATATTATGTACGTTTCCATATCTGTTACGCAACTATCACTCGGTCAGTTCCGACCCGAACCGTCTCCAGGTGATAGTGACGAGTCTACGCTCGCGGTACGGCGATTTGCTTCTGTTATTTGTGCTACAACTGACACAGCACCATCAAGAAAACTCCACCGCGGCGCGCACACGACCACGCAATAAATACACCAATAAATAAACTCTAAATAAATTACATTTAAAAAGTACACATTATAAATTAACATTAAAAACACAGTTTCCCTTAAATACTAAATGAGCTTACTCTCGATCACAATTCAAGGAACGCTCGCGACGCTCCGTAATCCAATATAGGAAAACAATCCCTACGGCTAGAACACACGCGATCACAATTTCATCGCTTCCTCGTCGAACGTGAAAGGCGGTTATCCAACGTTATTAGAAAGGTGTCACGGTTGCCGAGCGCTTTCTACCGCGAGTACAACGCGAGGTCCGAGATACGGCGTTGGCGCGCGGCCGCGTGGAAACCGCGCGTTCCGTCGGGCACCAGCGGTGCGCGCGCCTCGTACCTGGGCGCGCACGACAGCCGCCGCCCGCACTCCCCGACCCCACCCCCGCCCAGCGAACAGCCGGACAGCCTCCGCGCCAGCCAGCCCTCGGCACTGCTCGCGCTGCCCGTGCTCGCCTGCGACGCCCGCCGCGATCCACAATACACAGACACCCCTGAATCTGAACTGTGGCTGCAAGTGGACGCCCTCCGAGGCACCCATGTCTGGATCTCGGCCGGACGCGGCGCGAAGTAACCGCTCGAGCTGCGTCTGTAGAACGGAGCCGCGCCGTATCTGAACTCGTATTCGGCCTCGGAGCCGCTGCAGCAGGACGAATACTCGCACTCGTGACGACGGACCGGCGCTCGACGCACCGGCACCTTCCTCTTCGGCTCCCGGGGCACCCCGTTCAATTCGTAAACCTTCATACCGTCTTCTTCGGGACCCTGGAGACGTAAAGCTTCTCTAGCAGATTCGGACTCAGTAAACTCGACTAAAGCACACACACAGTTCACCAAACTAGGATTCTTATTAAGGAACTGCCGCACGTCCGCCGGCACCGGGTTCCCGGGTCTGAGGACGCGCACCAAAGCGATTTCGCCGCAGGGAGCAAACAGACGAGATACGTTCTCGACACTCGGACGATCGATGGGCATCCGGACGGCCACGACTGTCCGGGATGGAGTGGTCTCGTCGTAGGGCGGCAGCGGTTCTGTCCGACGCAGCTTCGTGCCTTGCTCGTTGATCTCCAGTTTGGTGGACCGCTTCAGGGCTTCGGCGACCACTCTCCAGTCCTTGGTGAGGTGTTTCACGCGTTTGAAGCTCGATATCAGTTTGAGGGACACGTAGCCCTCTTTGTTGCGTCTGACGTGCTTCAATAAGAAGGCGTCCTTAGTGATGTTCGCGTCGGAAAAGTAAAACTCGACTTGTGCGACGATGCGCGCGGCGAGCTCCTCGTCCGGCGGCGTGTAGGGCGGCTCCTGCGCATCGGGAGCGACTTCGCAGCCGGAATCCTTCCCGCCGGATCCGGCGTCGGACGCCGTATCGGAAAGGTCTTGATCGTCGGACGGCCGGCGGTCGGCGGCGATGCCCTCGTCCTCGTGCGCCCCCTCCATGTTGTGGGTCATCACTGTTTCATAACACGCGCGCGTCGCTGTGGCGCGTTTAACACTGAGAGCGCGCGCGTTCAAGCGCCGCTTTTATAATGTCGGGGGGATGTGTAAAAGGCTCGGACATGACATTGCTGCGCAGACTCGCAGACGCTGCGACCACGTGGCTTCCATGTTAACCATACACTTCGTACAAACAAAAACATGCTCCACTTACCATCATAGACGACATTTTGAGCTATTTGTTGCATTCGCTACTCGTTACTGTGATGTCATATATATCGATTTGCAGTAGGTAATTTTGCCTTTGTTCAGACGAATTTATCATTGCTAAGGTTTTATTTAACATGCACGCAATAGAAGAAACCTCTTCAATTATCACACAAATTTATAAACACGAATGCATGAAATATAGCAAATAACATTTACATCACCTAGTTTTTAGCGGAGTCTAGTTTTTCTACTTCGTGATACAAGTGGAAAACCCAAATACTTAAACTAATACATTTGTTTGATATAGTATTGTCATACTCTTTTACGTATTCTCAATTTTATTAATAAAAGTACTGATATTTCCTGTTACGTTAGCACATAACTCAAAATCAGAAAGTAGAGTAATGGGGAAATCTAACTTCATGAAACTCTACGTAAATAATTCATCATCTGATCCAAAATGAAACCGAGAATATGCTACATATTTTCATAAAACCATGAGTATCCTAGTTTTTAACATTTATATGCAACTAACTGCATCTGATTCAAATACCCGCTTCTGTAAATACTTAGACTAATATACAAAGTTTCAAAAAACACAACAATGTGCCGTGTAAACAAACGTAACATTATCAACCTTACGAGGCAATAAACTGATGTAATGTTTTATTGTTTTATTTTGGTACGGTTAACGTTATAACAGTAAGTATATGTATTGTTAGAGAACTGATCCGTCACCAAAAATTTACAAGATTCTTCATAATGAATTCATAAGTGACTATGTAGATTGGCGAGTGGCTCTCACGTCGGTTCCAAGTGTTCTATTCCGAATCAAACCTTCGTTGTTTCATATTCTCCATAATACGAGTGCTTTAGCTACTAAAGTTATACATCTTTAAAAATCCGATAACGGGGAAGACTCGAGTAATCATAGACCTATATCATTTTTACCGACGTTAAGCAAAATATTCGAAAAAAAAATCTTGAACAGTTATTGTCTTATTTTAATTTAAATAAATTACTGCATACTAAACAATATGGTTTCACAAAAGGTCGTTCTACTACTGATGCTGGTGTAGCACTTCTTAAACATATATTCAAGGCATAAAAAAATATATATATATATTACTACATAATTATTATAAAATATCTTCACAGCTATCGCCTTAAGTTAGGTTTTAAACCCAAAGAAAATGCATAAGGTACGCACTAACCCTGTCGCTTGATGGGACGGCAGCAGGGCTACTGATTAGGCCGGACGGTGACAAGGAAAAGCCCTAGACATACCTTCTGTCGGGAGTGGGACGTGGGACACGCCCGGCAATCGACCCCATCAGTAAAATAAACAGTCAGTGCACAAACGCCCATTAAAACTGTCATTAGTTTATAACGACATTACCTATACAACTTTGACATTCATCAGCGCTTAACGGCGTCATTAAGCCTTAATGAACGTGTATACAGCTGATCGAATGTCACCAAGAAATCTAAAGATGCATTTAATCACATACACGTTCCTCGATAAGAAGATCTAACCGATAGTTAACATTACATTATTTATCTTTTAAGGTTTCTACACTAATCCTAGCTGAGACTTGCCGTGTAACTCAATATCTTTTACGTCCGCTTTCAATTTGTCAACCATTACAATTTCATCGCTGGCTTATTACAATGATCTTATAAAAGATGCCATTTACTAGCAGTAATGTATTTGTACTGTATGTCATAGGACAGGATTTTCGTAATAAGAGGGATGACCGAAATGTGTCGGTCCGTTCGCCCCCGCAATCGATAACATCAGCTGATTTTACTATCTACTTAGTAAGTTAAAACATTTACTTTTTTATACGCATGATCTAAATAAACTATTTCAAACGTCGTGTATCAAATAAAAGGCTTGCTATGAGAATCTCCGGGTTTATTAAATTCATAATATAATAAATAAGTTTTGACGTTATTAAACAAATAAGTCAACCTCCGGTTTTTGTTTCAACAAGAATGAGTTTAAAATTATGAAATAATTTAAAAATAATCTATTTATATTACAAGTAAACCTATAATGTTTTGTTTTTAAATAAATTGGCTGGAAACTGGTCTGTTTTTTTTTTTAACCTACGAGTCGTTTTTAGATGATGTGTTATCTGTTAAAAACCTATCACATGACCTACAGGACCAAAATAACTTCATTGTTTATCATTTTATGTTGTTACAGTTTTAGTTGTTATTAACTATTGTGGCACCAAACATCAAAAACGTAATAAAAATACTAAACAATTGACAATTAATTAGTTGGCTGACCTTTCAGCCATATTCGATTCTATCGAAAGTCAGTCCGTTAATGGCGGCATTCCATTAACGGGCTAACTTCTGTGGGGCTAACCGTCCAATAAGTGGGCTGATTGTACCACTTAGCTGCAACATATATAAGAAAAGTAACAAAACTGAACGAATTTGGGTTACCGTAGAACAAAACAAAGACTATTAATCTATACATTATGATCCTTAGTTAAAATAATAAAATTAACTTTAAATTTAGCGTTAAATTATTTATCATATCATAAGTAATTTATTGGCTTGATTTTAAAATTTAGCTACTTAATATCACGCCATATGACTCTTAATTGACGCTAATGAAAACGCACATATTTTAATTAAATACCTACTATAGACATAAGTTGCTGCCTGGAGTGATACAACTTTATTGTAGGGATGCGACGTCCGACGCAACTAACTGCGGTTAGCAATACAATGAGTTACGGGGAACAAGAGAGCGCACTTTCTGTACAAGCTTCTAAAAATGACAACCTGCCAATTAATAAATATGAGTTAGATGAGTAAATTATTAAGGACACTCTGGCGTAGGAAGGGAGAAGATGGCGCTCCCTTGTTTTTTAAAAGTTAAGAATTTATTATAACTATACGACATTTGCACGCTGCGCACACTATGTATGCAGAGACACAATATTATGTAGGTCCTTCAAAGTATTAACCAGATTACTCAATAAGAAGTTTAATGGTCTGAAACTTTATAAATACATCAGATAAAGTTACGAAGACGTTTTTTTTCATTTATTATTGTATCCACAAAAAAGTTTACATTTTTAATTCTTACAACATTGTAATAAACCACTGAGGTTCGTCTCCAATATCAATATTTGGCATAAAGCAACAAATAGTTTACAATTTACATACAAACTTGTTCAATAATATTCTAAAATTTTTATATTCAATAAAGAACACAATTAACGACTTGCGAAATATAAGAATCAGGCAGGTGTTTATTGTTTTATAATCGATGTACCTAACTCGAACATAGATATTCCAAAAAGTGATGTTTAAGTTTTATTTTAATATTTTTTTGTGTTAAAGTATTTTTCAAAGAGGCGGGTAGTTGATTAATTAATCTTGGTATCAGATATTGTATAGTTCTTTCACCGTACTTATAATTTGCGCGCGATGTGCATAACTGTTCTTGAGCGACAGAACGCGTGTATGTAGGATGTTTAATTTTTTTTAGAAACGTCGTTATTAAAAATGTTCTTTGATTAAATTATATTCAACTTGTTGATGGATTGGTAAAACCCTACAGTGACGAAAAAGGTGTAATTCGTTACTTTTTAATTGTCTCTTTACCTCGGGAGATACGATTGTTTTTTAATATTCTTAGTTATAGTTTATATATGCTATTTAAATATGTAGTATAAGTTCGTCCATAGCTACTGAGGGCGTACTGAATGTACGATCCAGTGAATTATAAAGCATCATCTTAATCTTAAATGGAATACGATTTTTTATTATTTTTATGTTAGCTAAAAGTTGCCTTATTTTATCACAAACTCGCTCAATATGAAATCCCCAGTTAAATTTGTCGTCGATAATAACCCCGATATAAGTATAAGACTTTACTACCTCTACAACAGGACATTTACAATTGGTCCGACAGGAATCGTGCAATCATGATTTAATATATAACAGTTTTGTTTTACTGGCGTTTAAAATCAGCCCAACATCATAACACCATTTGATAAGGTTATCGAAATCAGCCTGAAGACACTTTGTAGCTTCCTGCAATTCTCTTCTACCAATTTTCTTTATTCATTTTGATTCATCTTTATTTGGTACAATTTAATAGCAGAAGCAAGCAAACTGTTTTATATATCAAAAGTTTTTGAATTGTCTTGTCTATGTGTTTAACCTGCGACAACGTTCGCGTGATTTGTTAGGATGATATTGATATTTTGGTAAACAAATACTAGCCTATGTCCTTCCGCAGACCTCATACTTCATCATATCAAATTACATTTCAGACTGAATCACTGTCGGGTCAAAAATAATAAAATTAATTTTCCATTTATAATATGAAGTAGGTATTAATTCTCATCAGCCTATTATTATCCTTGCAGGAGAGGTACAGGCTTACCTTACGAATAGAAATAAATAATATACCGATAGACCCACCATAGGAGCATAATGTGGATTGAGGGGTGTGGTATCTAATTTAAGAGCGACACAGTTGTCGGTTGCTCCTTCTTTGATAAATAATAAACACATACCTATATTTTTCTATCTGTATATGACATTTTAAATTATGCATTCTTAGGTATTAAACTTTGATTTAGATTTTAATTAAACAGGTTTATTCAAAAAGCGCTCTGTTTTTATGTGAATTCGGGTCATAATTAAATCATTAAACGACCTTTACTATATATAACCTAGATATTATTATATAAGTAAAGCTCAATAGTTGATCACACACCTTGATGCCATCTGTTGTATCGTTAAAACGCATCCTTATTTGTCTATACAATAGTCCAAGGTTCGTTGTGGAAGATATGTATATATATGTATATG